CCCCCCCCGCCCCCCCCCCCCGCCTGTTGTATCGGTTGCAGCGAGAACAGCATAAAGAAGAGAAAGGAAGACATGGACACGTTTGCGGATGATTGCTCCCGTGAAGGTGAGTTCCTCTTCGCGTGTTGTTGTTGTTGTTGTTGTTTGTTTTCAGCATGCTGTAGGTCCAACCGCCAACAGGGATTGGATGATGCAAAGGATTTACTCGTGTGACTTCAGATAATAATGTCACAGCGCATCCGTACAGGAAGATTGAATAGTTGTGTACTACTACATGACGAAGAAACGCCTACCAATGAGGGCCGTTCCGTACGCTAGTTTCATGGAAATCCTTTCGGCCGTTCTTGGTCTCGATTGCGGTTATTTGAAGAGATTGTTTTTGCTTGTTGCCTTGTGTGAGAGGCACCCAACGCAAGCATGACATCCCCGCTCCCTGCTCCATTGAATATAAGAATAGCGTTGCGTGCAATGGACCCTGTGAAGGAAGTTTCTCGCGGGGAATAACGCCGCCAAAGCGTGCTATTTGACTTTTAGAATGAAAAATTGACAGTCGATCGAACAGAACACGATGCCTTGAGTGCGAGCAACTGGTGCATGGTTGGATTGAGCCTATTCCCCCCGCCCGTCGTGTTCGTTGCAGGCGTTTCTGTTTTGTGTTGTTTCATTCTCTGCACCCGTTCCATTCCGACCCGCCCCCGCCTGTCATGATACAATAGTTCACCCGACGCAACCAAGGCATCACCGCCCCCTGCTTGAATAANCCCTGCCGCATGATGAACACATCAATGCTACAACGCCACATTGTTCATCTCATGATGTTACCGTTGCAACGAATGGTGTTGCAGGGCGGAATGGCCTGACCGCCGAACAGTGGGCGAACCCTTCCACGGAGGAGCAGACCAATACGAAGGAGAAGCGCATCGAAGACAACAGCAACGCGGGTGAGAAGGGCGTTGCAGATCTGATATCTAGGTTGTGGTTGTTGTTGTTGAACATCAGCGGTAGGAACAATCGGCACGCTCTGTTTGTTGTTGTTGTTGTTGTTGTTGTTGTTGTTGTTGTTGTTGCCACCAAAGCGTGCTATTTGACTTTTGGAATGAAAATTTGACAGTCGATCGAACAGAACGCGATACCTTAAGAGCGAGCAACTGGTGCATGGTTGGATTGAGCCTATTCCCCCCGCCCGTCGTGTTCGTTGCAGGCGTTTCTGTTTTGTGTTGTTGCTGTTGTTGTTGTTGTCGTTGTCGTCGTCGTTGTTCTTGTTTTCCCTTACTTTCTATTGAAACCCTTACGACCTACTCTTCCTGTGTCGCGTGTATTCGATGTTCATATTTTCAGCAACCTCTTGCCACGAAGACGGGTGTTGCTGCACAAAGGCGGGCGAGGGATGCATCTGTGTCGGACACGTCCACGTGAAGAACGCGACCATCGGAGGTGAGCTCGTTCTTGTAATTCACTCTATCCCCAGAGTCTGTTGTTGTTGTTGTTGTTGTTGTTGTTGTTGTTGTTGCCGCCAAAGCGTGCTATTTGACTTTTGGAATGAAAATTTGACAGTCGATCGAACAGAACGCGATGCCTTAAGTGCGAGCAACTGGTGCATGGTTGGATTGAGCCTATTCCCCCCGCCCGCCGTGTTCGTTGCAGGCGTTTCTGTTTGTGTTGTTGTATTGGGTGGAAACATTCTCAACATGTCGTTGGTATCAATCCTGGGGTAAGCTCACCACGATTGGATGATGTCGCCGTCTTCTTCCTTGTGTTCGTCCACTCTTTCTTTTCATTTTCTTGTACGATTCGTTAACTGCCCCTCCCCCCCTCCGTGGGCCAAGGTGGGGACGGGGACAAAAAGAGGGAAGGAGGGGGGCGATCAAGCGGGAATGAAAAAGGTAGTGAAGCCGCCTTTGAACCTTTCCTCGAGGATGCTCCCGGCGTGGCGGTGATCTGCGCGAAGGATGGTTGCACTCAGGAGTGGGGGCAGCTTCCCGGGGTTCGCCGACTCAACGGGGGCCATCCAGGCGTGGCAAGAGGGATCTATAACGAGGCCACGAAGATTGTTTTCGTCAAAGAGGAGAAGCACTGGGCGGACAAGGGTTGGTGCAGATCCGCCCCTGGTGCCACGGTTACCAAGGACGGGGT